CTGACCCTTTCGATTCTCATATCTGAGCCTTCGATAATTGTATATAGATCAAAATATGAGAGCTCGACGCCATTTTGGTTCTGGTCTGGACCGAGTTAAAAATTTTTTTTGAAAGATCCAAATTTTTAATGTGTCAGGACAATTCTTAGCTGATCAGGAGTGATGTGTCAAAGTTTTGGACAGTTTGGCCTAATACCCTTAAAAAAAAGTGTTGTATTCGAATCGACTGATTTGAAGGACGTTTCACTTCACCTTAAGGTGATATGAAAGTGGCTTCCGAGAGGTCAATTATTCCTGAATCTTTTCTCCGAACGGAGTGTATCGAAGCTTTACTTTACAACGTGAATGTGGAGACTATACGGAAGATCCCGACACCCATAAAATTTAAGTTTTTGTGAGAAATTTTGAAATTGTCTATTAGGAGATTTTATAAAACTTGAAATTTTAGGGGTGGCGGAACCTTCCTTATAGCCTTCATATTCCCGTGGTGAAGTTTTAAACGATTCGGTAGACTCAATTCGGGGAAAAAGTTTCACGAGCGAAACCTCTTTGACGCCACTTTCACATCGCCTTAAGAATGGCAAAAGTAGGAGGAATCCCAACCGACGCGAATGCTCAGTTATGGCCGCGAAAATGCGGCTTTATACCCCGACCATTGCAATTATCTCATGTCAAAGAGCATTTCTCTTCTCCGGGGCCGACGCACCCCTTGCGGAGGCTTCGCGGCAATTTTTGCGAATTCCCCTTTCGCGGGAGTCCCGACAAATTCCTGGAATTCTCTTTTTATCCCGGACAAAGGGGGCGACGAGCGGCCCGGGCCGGAAGCGCGAGAGGCGGCTCGAGAGTTCCGCCGGGCGACGTCGCCACCACATGTCGACGTGACGCAATATACATGCTAATACGAGGGCTTAAGGCCAGTCCGCGGGGACAGAGGAAACTCGCAGTAACATGCCGGCATGGCCTTAGAGCGCCGACTCGCTATACCTTTCCGGCCCCCGCCCAGGGACCAGCTTTCCGCCACCGCGGTCGCGGCCCTACTGAGCTCCCGCCACTCCGCACGTCCTTATATACCCCGTGCCCTAACCACGTGACCCGCCGTACTTCTTCCATAAATGCCGATTTGCGCTCTTTACCATAAAACTATTTTTCGTTTATATACCCTACATCGATGTTAATGATTTTTCTTGCGTTCTTTATCAAATTAATACTCGTAAGAGGAACAGTTAGGGAGGCGTTCCTTCAAGGAGGATTCATCAGATCGTACGTGTTCAGGAGATTAGCCATGAACCATTGAGGGACTTAGACATCCACGAGCGACGGGTTTTCGATTCGTGCGTGGAATCGCACCTCCGGCGCGCGCCGCGCTGACGGATGCAATTCCGGAACGGCGGAAACACCGTCGAGCTTGTCACGCCCGCGGAGACGTTGAAGGCTGAATTTCTCATCTCGTCGGGCTCAATTTGTCACCGGCGAAAAGAATGTCCCCGGGAAATTCAGGCAGAAAATCGAGCGACATAGCCGAGGCGTCCGCGAAACGAACTAGCCGCCGAGGACATTACTTATCCCCCTTAACGTCGTCATCCCCCAGGAAGAGGGTAGGTTCTGTAAGGGCTGCGCACCGGAAGGGATGAATCCGCATGACGGGACATCCGCTAGCTCGGTTCGATTCAATGAAATCGTGGAGTCAGTAACCTTGCTCCTGATTATTCCCCCAATGGGCAGTCGTAGGATACAGACAGGGGATAGGGTATCCATAAAATCGTACAATAAAGCTCGAGGTTTACAGCTGCAGCTGGCGGGCCACCAGCGGCGATACAGCCGCGGAAACGACGTCTTCGCGGAATTGCCGCGATAATCATCGGATGGGCATAAAATCCCAACGACGAGCTCCACCGAGTGGATCGGTAGGGGGAAAGTCGCCCCGATTTTTTATCTCGTTTCTCATTATCGCCCCTCCCCCCCGCTTTACGTCGTCTATTTCTCTCGCTAGGATTCCCGACTTCGATTTCAAGGAGGACACACCCCAACCATCGACCGTCACTCCTTTTTGAAGGGACTTTTCCCATAGCGTGAAATGCCGCAAGGCAGCGGACAGGGCCAAAACGACGGGAAAAAAAAAAAATGATCACCACCCCCTGGGGAGAAAATGCGGAAAAGTAACGAGTACCATCGCGGCCGTCTCGACGCGTCGTCCGAAAATTGTCAGACGATTGGCAGTGCCAATTCCCCGGAGTTCCATCCGCTGAGTATGATCTTTCTAGGGCATGGTCGGCTCGCGAAAATAGAGAAAACCCTTCTTCGGGGTCTCGCGAAAATTCAGGGTAAGGAAAAAGATCGATATTTCGCCCGTTGTCGGTGGCCCCGATATGAGGCGCGCTCGACGTCCGGAAAATTTAGTGGAAATAATTTTTTATTCCCCTACCCCGACCGGGGTGGGGGATGATCGATGCCGCAAGCGATATCGGGGGTGGCGGGGCCATCGAATGGCGAGATTAGGACGCCTGGTGGATATCAATGGCAGTTCTGGGCCGGCGATGTTTAGACGGTAATTTGCATACTGGCGAGTGCCCATGCATTCCACGTGTCCATTGGTTATGCCACCCGGAATTAGGTTTACCCTCGGTACTCGAGAGGGCCGAGTGCCTCATGGATGGATTATGCGTACGTGGGTGCACACGCGTATACACCCGCGTGTAGACACGCCGCTCAAAGTTTTCGGGCTATCTCAATTCCGAACGTGGGGCACCCCCGGCCATGTTGAATGCGGTTCCGCTCGCGGAGGGACATATTTCCGCTCGGCGGTATCCAAGGCCCGATTAGCATAAAGCGAACCGACTTTTGTAGATTTTCACCCGACCCGAGGGAGTCTTGCTTAACGACGCGGCCGTAAACGCACCTCGTACCGCGCCTTCGCCGCCACCTCTAGGAAGACTGCCGCAAACCTAACGCACAGCTTACGTACACGTGACATACACCTAATGCACGCCTAACACACACCTGACGCCATTCACGTCTGACGTACACCCAATGCACATCTAATGCACACCCAACGCACATCCAAGGTAAACCTAACGCACATCCAACACACACCTAACGCCCCCCGTTTTCCAATTTGGATTACGCCCACCACGATTACCTATTCCAAAGGATCGGTAATTTAACTCGGACCGCACTCTGTCGCCCGATTGGATATGTCCTTTTTACCCGTGGAATTAATTCGTCCCTTCGACGAATTCGATTACCCGGCTCGCGACCGCAAAATCGGGAATTTCACGCGGTGCATCCCAGACGAAGAGCATGTTGCGTGGGCGGCAGATGCGAGAGGGGCGAATGGGGGGCAGGAAAGGGATGAAATTTCGAGAGCCCCTCGAATTTTACTCGGTTTCTCAGGGACCTTCCCGAGGGAAGTTCGCCTTTGTAGTTTCCGGTTTAATGGAAAGAACTTAATTAGAGGGGCCCCATAGCTGGAAAAGCTCCACACGGCGCGCAGTCGGCGCCGTTCTCGCGCGGACCATCTGCGAGGGCTGCCCGATAAAATAACCGTTTATAATCTATGGCGAGCACCCCCGCAGTCCCCGAGGCCGGAAGCTTCGCGGCATAAATCCGGAGTTGAGAATATTACACGTAGCCGCTCCGCGAACTTTGACCCCTTCCCCGGTAAAGTGGGGCTTTTTCCCGGCGCCGCGATCTCCCGGCCTTCCGACGCAGTTGCAGCTGCACGCGGCTGCTCACGTAGCCGACTTTACTTCCTCGCTTTGTCAGCCGACGTAACGACGAGTACTCGCAATTACTCGAGCACTCCTCCCGGATAATATGGATGCCACTTCCGGGATCGCGAATCTGACCCTGCAGGGATCGAGATGTCGATAGTGATCGAAGATGCTGCTCGTGCATGGATCTGTGAAGAGATGCATGGAACGTAAAGTGAGATTTTTTTTTTTTAAGTATTTCCAAGATCAAGAAGTAGAGGCAGGGACTGCGGCGGCCATCTTGCCAGGGTCCGCACATATTCGCAATTTTGTAGTCGGGAACAAAGTATAAGGGTGGAGCACCTTTTTTTTTTAAGTACGATGAAGCGTGTTTCAAAAGGGGGAAAATTGTGAAATTGTGTTACTCGCGGTTTCTAAGGATTGGCAAATTGTAAATGGCGGGAACGGTTACTGTTTGCGTGCTTAACATTTGTTTTGTTCTTCTTAAAAATAAGGGATCCGTGGTACGGTAAGATGGCCGCTGTCGTTCCTTCCCTTTGTATGTTCAGCATCACCTGAGGAGGGATTTCCACCATAAATCTCTTCATAGATCCATGGCTACGTGCACGCCGGGGATGGTACAGACAAGAGGTGCAATCAAAGTAACTGGATATTTTTGGAATTGCGCTTGAAAATGGCTTGAAAATGTATACAGTGATAAGAAGTATGAAAAATGAGGTGCGACGGGGGCAGCAACAAGGGGCACTTTCGAACCACCTACGGCGGGGTCTATTGATCAACTCGTTACTTCTACACCTGCGAACCAACTCTAGAGGGGTGAGAAGCTGCCGGGGATGATATTTCGGACCGAAGTTCAGAGTTGATCCCGAAATAACTGGACGATCGATCGGGTCGACCATCGATCGGTCATCCGTCTCTCCCCGCGATGGCCTCCACCTTTCAACCTTGAACTTCGTTCCGGCTTTAAGTTACATATCATACACTGAGAAAAATAGAAATAAATGCACCGAACCGAAGAAATATTTCGTAAATTCAAAGAATAATTATTTCATTCAAGTAAACTCAAATAAATTGTCTATGATTCCGAGGAAACGTTGCATCCAATCTATTCAAGTTTAGTTGAGTCTAATAAGTAGTTTTTAAATCAACAAGATATCTCTTTGGTTTAATGACATTTGCTTCTCAGGGTAGGTAAGAGGTCTATTTCCCCTTCTCTTCCTGCGAATAGATACAGGGCTATGGGGGAGTATCTTGCGGGTCCTTTTAAAGAAAATACATGGCGAGACTCACTGTAATCCCATGCCCAGAATTCACCAGCACCGGAAGTAGGCAGCACCGTGCTCCATGCCTCTACACTCGCACAGCACGAAACAGAAAAAAGACGTCGCCGAATATGGGAGAACTCAACCATGCCGCTAGGAGAGATCCGTAGAAAGGTGTCCCCTCGCTCCTCCCAAATAGAGTAGAAAAAGGAAAGAAGGAAATTTATTCCTCGATCGGTTTCGCCCGAAATCTCGATCGCTTCTTTTTTCTTCTCCGCGCACCACGTAAAGTGTGGTAAAACTCAAAAAACGCTCTATGACAAATGTATGGGGACACGGAGATGCAAGGGATGCTGCATGGTGAGGTTATGTCACACCTGTCGCGGGTATGGAAACGAACGCGAACGTGACAAATGGGGGGAGGGATAATTTAATTGGGAAGAGTCGGGCGATACGAAGTGCCGAAGAGCTCGAGTGCGGAAGTTGGCGTTTTCCTCCTCCCCATTCCTCCTTTAGGAAAGTGCGAAGGAGCGAGAAAGAGTGCCGAGTGCACTTCGCCTTCTGAGCGAGCTTTCAAGTGCGGGGAGACGAGAGAATAAAAGGGAAATCATTTTTCCGGCGTACTCGCGATTGCCGTTTCTCGCGAGTCCGAGAACCCTGGAGGACGCTGCGCCAGGATGCAGCGACCTCCAGGGTGCATCACGTTTTCAAAGGGCAAAGAACCCAGCCCTTTGGAACGTCCCCACGAACTCCACGTGAAATCTCGCTCGGGAAAGACATTCGATTTCGGAGCCGCAACGAAAGTCGGGATTACGTCGAACTTCGATTTCGATCGGTTCGCGGGATTCGACTGGGGATATTTATTTTATCCACGATTTCATCCAATTTCTCCGAGCGGCCATTCCGCGCCGAGTGCCCTCTCGAAAAAATCCCCAATCGCAATACCTCGCGGAAAATCGGCCGCGCTAAAAATAATAAAGGGACGGGCCGGAAACGCGTAAAGTCTCCCCAGGGAGGAAAAGTGCATAGGGCTGCGCCATTACTTCTTCCTACGTGTCCGGCATTTGTTTGCGGAGAAATTCCGCCTCCGAGCGCCGCGTTATCGTTCCGGGGAGCATTCAAAAAATCAATGCGTGGCCGCCACGCGCTTCGGAAGTGAAACTTCTAAATTTTATATTTCCATATTTATTTCACTTTAAACGTTAATAGTTCATTGAGAGAATAACGCTGATACGCTAACAAAATTGCGGAAATTATGCCAGGACAAAAACGCAAATATAAATGTAGATAGTAATTAACCCTTCGTGATTATTTTCTTCTACCTCTGTCGCACCCCTAAGTGTGCTTCACGTGGACCCATTTTTCTCCATTCTGGGCTTCCAAAAATATTGGAAAAAATTCAGGATTACCTTTCGACGTCCTCTCCATACCTTCCCCACCATCTTTAAAATGTGTACATTAAAAGTCTCTCAATAACGATGAAAATTGCAAAGGAAATCTCAGCTCGAGATTTCTCTTGTGCCTGAAAGCATTCCAAAACGTGTTCCCTTTAAAAGAGTGTAGAAAGTACTCTTTCACGAGATGTACTATCGCGATATAAGAAGTTTCACTTCAAAAAGTCGCCGAGATAGGTATTCGCAAGGGGCGACCAAGTGATAGCGGCTATCTCGCGATCGTCCGATTCCGATGGGACCAATTTCTCAAATTTCTGGATTCGAGTTCGAGCTCTTCAGACCGCGGACACTCCTTGCAACTGGCACCCAACTTGCGGACTTCCCGGTTATGAGAGCTCGACACGTAAACCCTCCCGCCAAGATTTACGCGGATACCTTTACGAGGCGTCGCAACGCCCGGCGAAATTGCGGGGCTTTTATCCACCGAGCACGTTCGCCAGGGCCGATTGCTTCCTTGCACCGGCGTCCCGGTTTGTTCTCACTTGGCTCCTTCCTTCGCCCGACATGTTTTTACATTAATTTTTCTTCCCGCTAAACAGTAAAAAAGGGAGCGGGCTAACTGGCGCGAATATCATCATTTGTGAGCGGGCAAGCTTGCCCCTTCGGAAAATTTCGGATTTCAAGGAAACGCGGGATTGCATTTAACCCGGGATCAACAATTTGGAGCCATTTGCGGAATCGGTTGCGTCGAGGGGTTGAGACTCGGGGGAGAATCGATTTGCACCCTGAGAAAAGGAATGCGCCAAATAAATATTTTTAATTCAAAGAACAATTATTTCACTAAAATAAACTCATATAGATTATCGCAATCCCGCGGAAACGTCGCGTCGAATTTAATTTCCCTCCTGATTTCCTTTTCCTCCTTTCAAAACTTTCCTCCGAATTGGGGGTATCGATTAATCTAAAATTTTATTCTTTTACAGTCGTTTATAATCATCTCTCAGGTTTTGAATAAAGACTAAAATCTCAAGGGGGTCAGGATCTTCGTACTCAGGTGGTAAATTTTCAAAGGATTCGGTACCCCCAGTTCGGAGGAAGGTGTCATAATCGATTGATGCATCACCTGCCTGTACTTTCGAATCGCCTTAAGCTCGCTCGACTCGTTATCGCAGGCGAGGTGCAACTTGGGCCAGAAGGGTGTTTTTCGAAGGGGCTAAAAAGAGGATCTCCGATGATGCGCGGAATCAACGTTGTATCTCCTTCGCAGCCGTTTATCCGGCACGTCGGCCGCCGGGGTTGGCGCAAATGAAATCCGCCCGGGGGAAGATTTGTAAATCGATTAGGAGGATTAATCCGGTTTGTTGTCGAGCGCGGAGGTATACCAGGGCCGACGAAAAGTCGATCAATCTCGCTTTCAGCCCGTCCGGCATTCTTTTTTTTTTCCCAAAGCGACTCGGCCTTTCGTCCTCGCCCTTTCCTCGTTTTCCTCCCGCGCTCCCGGCCGGCTCTCGGTCATTAAGGGTGGTAATTACATTAGGCCGTATAACGTCCGCGAATCGGCAAAAGGGGCTCATCTCTCCCAAAGGGGTGAGGTCGGTGAAACGAGCGAACGCGCGAAAGGGCTGTCGGTGTCCTCTGGGAATTAAAATAAAATTACCGCCGTAACCACCCCCGCGTCCCGGTTTCCCTCGGAATTTTCCCTTGTGCGACTGGAAAATTCGCCCGCGCCTCAGGGGAGGGATTTCGATCATTTTCCGTGTGTTACAATGTTACAAATGTTAAGTACCGGGCAGAAACGTACACAAGGTGTGATTTAGGTGGCGGATACACTGACAATGAGAAAAACTTTCCATTGCGCGAAAGAAATAATTCTTTGAATGGTACCAAAGGAAAATTATATTAATTCAAAGAATAATCATTTGACTGGAATAAATTGGATGCAACGATTCATCGGAATTATGACAATCTATTTGACTCTCTTTGGGTCAAATAATTATCCTTTAAATTTACAAAATATTCCTTTGACACTATTCAAGGTAACATTTCTTTAGTTCAATGAATTTTCTTTTTCCCATGCACTTGGCACTTTTTTCCGCGCAATTTGCTCCGACGAATTATTAGCAACGAGAACTGTTAATGACGGGAATTATTATGGCGACCGGAATTAATAGCGGTGCGAATTATTAGCGATGCACCTTATCAGCGGGGAGACACTATTTCGTGGAGCTGCAAAGGTGGAGGCATCTTTCACTCGTGAAAGACGGTGTTTTGGGGCGCAGGAAACGGAGCTTATGAGGGATGGAGGATCCCTACCTTTCTCACAGTAGACACCCTCGTAGTCCCCGGTGCGACACTCGCAAATGGGACCGCTGTCAGTGGAGATGCATATGCCTCCGTGCTGGCACGGATCGCGTGTCTCGCAAGCGTCCGTCGTGTTGGCCGCCATCATGCCTCGCAAGCTCTGCAACACACGACAAACGAATCCTCAGGTTAATCCTCGCAAGCCTCCAAAAATGGTTGTAAACGCTGCGGGAGCGTTTTCCCGAGGAAAAAAAAAATGGTAAAAATGTTTCGACATTTCAATCACCATGTGTGCATATTCAAATTAGAAACAGCTCCACTGCCCCAGAAAAAATGTCAAAGCTCGAATCCTTAAGGTAATGGCTTAATGATAATAGCCACCCCTTATGTGAAATTTCCTCGTCCGCAGTATTAAAATATTTCATCCATAAGGTGTTTCATTTGGAACTTTTTACACTATTTTAGACATTCCCGACAATGCAATTTCAAGTCCCGTATTTCGGTGTTCGGTGAAAACTTCACGGCTCGGATCCTCGAGGTGACGGCCCTATGTTTCGGTAATATTTTATTAGCCACCCCCTTACGTGAAATATGCTCGTCCGCAGTATTCGGAGGAAAAAAAAAATGGTAAAAATGTTTCGACATTTCAATCACCACGTGTGTATATTCAAATTAGAAACAGCTCCACTGCCCCAGAAAAAATGTCAAAGCTCGAATCCTTAAGGTAATGGCTTAATGATAATAGCCACCCCTTACGTGAAATTCCTTCGTTTGCAATATTAAAATATTTCATCCATAAGGTGTTTCATTTGGAACTTCCTACACTATTTTAGACATTCCCAACAATGCAATTTCCGGTCCCGTATTTCGGTGTTCGGTGAAAACTTCACGGCTCGGATCTTCGAGGTGACGGCCCTATGTTTCGGTAATATTTTATTAGCCACCCCCTTACGTGAAATACGTTCGTCCGCAATATTAAAATATTTCATCCATAAGGTGTTTCATTTGGAACTTCCTACGCTATTTTAGACATTCCCAACAATGCAATTTCTGGTCCCGTATTTCGGTGTTCGGTGAAAACTTCACGGCTCGGATCCTCGAGATGACGGCCCTATGTTTCGGTAATATTTTATTAGCCACCCCCTTACATGAAATTCCCTCGTCCGCAATATTAAAATATTTTATCCATAAGGTGTTTTATTTCGAACTTCCTACACTATTTTAGACATTCCCAACAATGCAATTTCTAGTCCCGTATTTCGGTGAAAACTTCACGGCTCGGATCCTCGAGGTGACGGCCCTATGTTTCGGTAATATTTTATTAACCACCCCCTAACGTGAAATACGCTCGTCCGCAATATTAAAATATTTGATCCATAAGGTGTTTCATTTCGAACTTCCTACGCTATTTTAGACATTCCCAACAATGCAATTTCTAGTCCCGTATTTCGGTGAAAACTTCACGGCTCGGATCCTCGAGGTGACGGCCCTATGTTTCGGTAATATTTTATTAGCCACCCCCTTACGTGAAATACGCTCGTCCGCAGTATTCGGATCCCTGGCCGATAACGGATTCAGGACGCGGAGGGCTGTGCGGCCGTTTCCGGGATTCTCGTCACGTCAAGACAATCAATAGCGACTGTTCGTGGGAATGTGTATTCACGTGCGCTCCTGGACCGCGCGCTTCCCGTTTCGCCCCTTTCCACCCTCCCCCTGCCCGACGGGTGCATCCCTCGCACGTGGCGACTTCTCGAGGATGCAACTTCCACCCGGTGCAGCTCCAGGTACCGGACGGAACTTTCGGCGCCCACCGGAAGTGCCCACTCTTCGTTAGCTTCCGGACGATTAAGCAACCCCGGGGCTGATTTTTCCACCCCACTTTTCGTTACATTCAATTTCCACATACAATTTTTTCAGGTTAAATCCACTTCCAGGTTTTGAATTTTTTCCCTCCTTTACTGCATACATGTACCTGTATAGGTATATATAATTGGAAGCTCACGTGGAAAAAAATTCCGTTGCAACTATAGTGACATGGTCGGTAAAATTGTACTAGTCTGAACCACCCAAATGGCAAAATTGATCATTTGGAGTGGTAAATTTAACCTTGACGATAGTTGCGGTAGTGATCACCATTCAGAAATGGTATCAACTGTACATCGTAGACTTGATAAACGCAATGTTACCATTAGTATCTTATAGTTACCCTGAATAAACAGTGAGACCAGTCTTTGTTTCTTAATACCGTGTTACACAGATTCCCAAACCTCCCACCGAAGTCTTCTACTATGGGATTGTTCCGGTGTTCGCGATTATATTTCTGTCCATTCTTTCACTTTCCCATGCAAATGTAGAGGTATCTCCAGACACGTGGGCCCAATCTCTGTGTAGGGACATATTGATAACGAAATATTCGGGGGGAGGGAGGATAAAGTCCCGGGTTAGCGGAATCCCGGAGTCTCGTTGCGGGAGTTCCTGGAGTTCCTTTCGGCCGCGAAAATCCGAGGCCCTGGGAGAGCTTACCTATCGGATTCGCGGAAAAGTGTCCGCGAAAAGCCCGGGTATCGCATCGTGATCCCCGACACGTAGACGTCCGGGTCCCGGGGAAAAGAATCGGCCGGTATATGTCGCCTCCACCGTGCCCGAGCAATTCCCGGGCTCATTATTCCGAACGGTTACGACATGTCTTCGGGGCCGACCGAGAGCTCGAATTCTTATGTATGCACCGGTTATGGGCTGAGAGTATGTCGCAGGAAATCGGCGCCCCTGGGGACAGGGGGCGGAGGGGCCCGGACATTATGCGACCTCGCAACATGCCGACGTCTCCTGCAGCTGCGGATTCGTTTCTCATCTGACTCGCTAATTTGGCGAACCTCTCAGGTGTCGTCCTCGGGTCGCCTCCTTTGAACATCCCTCAGTGGGACGCTTGAAAGCCCTGGGCGAAAAATTTACTTCCCCAGCGAAATTAGAAATTAAATACTTGCGACAATCTAAATGTTCCTTGTTAAGCTATTTTCTTTTTTCGACTCCTGAAAAATCATTTTTGTAAGGATCGTCAGTGACGATCTAAACGATGCCAAGTTAATAGGAAGTGGAAATGATTTGGTGGAAAGAATTTTAGGTACAAAGTTAGCCACTCTCAGCGAATCGTTATTTCCTCCTAACGAGGTTCCGCTCAGAAATTGAAAATATAAAAAGTAAGACGGAGATTGGAAATTGAGTATCGTTTGTAATTTTCCTTATTTTCGCTTCATCTCATTTCGTTGACGATAGTGGATAAAGACTTATACGACAAGAAATGTTTTCCTTGGAAATGATTTTTTCTCTCAGGGTGCTCTCGAGTAACCACGTGGCCGCCACCCCCAGGGAGGAGGGTAATCGTCGGTCTAGGTACTTACGAGGAAACCGAGGTCCGTTCGTGCGCTTAAGGGCGAAAAAGGAGGAGCGGTAGGTAAATTGACTTTCCTGCAAAAACCGTATTTTACCGGTTCGCCGGATACTACACTTTCGCGGGGGTGAAGGATGAGGTCTTCGAGGGGAGCCTCGTTGTCTCGGTTTAGAGGAGCTCTAAGCGGGAGGGACGTTTCGTGGGCGTTTTCCCGGATCCCGCGGATTTTGCCTCAAATAGTTTCCCGAGAAATCTGGTATTCCGCCAAGGCTCTTCCCAGATCCTGCGGGGGGACTGCGGAAAGGGTCCCACTCGATATTCTCGTCCTGGGGACGTCCCCCTTTCGCGCCCTCCCCTTTCTCTGGGACCTCCCAGGAGAGGAAAAATTCCTCTTACAGTCGCTTCCTAGACAGCCACTCGAATATTTCGACGGAATGGACCTCGAATCCATACACACGGAGAAGAAAAAAAAATCACTTTCTGGAAAAAAAGAGCGGCGGTGGGGATGAATGGTGATTTCCCGTGATGTCTTCATAAGAGAGACGTGCAAACGTCCAGGAACGATTATCGGATCTCCCTTCGAATATAACACGCGGTTTCAGAACTTCGCCCTTCGAGAGAGAGAGCCGACACCCCTACCCGGAAAAAGTTTCCACGATTTTTCAAGGCCGAGGGTGGAAGTTCCCCGCGATGAATTTATCTCCGGGCGACAAGTTCGCGGATCCCGAAGATCGCTCGGAAGTTCACCCTTCTCGGGTGATCTCCTCCCAGCATCCCTGCCCGAGTCCTGTCGGCAGGATCTCCCTAACTTCTGACAAGTTGGCAGGAAGATTTCGAAGTCGGGGCTCGATCGAACTTGCCCGTTCGCGCTTAATTTCTCCCCTCGGCGTTCCTGTCGGCGACACCTCACCCTCATCCCGCGATTCGTCGCCCTCGGGCTCTTATTTCTACGGCCAGCTCCGATCCATCTTCCGGACTCCTGGGTCCGCCAGATCTCTCCGATCCCCCGAATTACGGCATATTATTCGGCCGGGCGCGTGTATCGAAAATGTAATTTGCCCCGCCCGGCCGGAATTAGTTACCCGCCTCGCCAGGGAGGGGGTGGCGGAATTTCATTAACTCCCTCAAAAGTATTCCTATGATTAATACCCCCCCAGCCGGGGCTCTCCTCCACGAACTGCTTCCCAGATTCCGGAAGACTTATATTTCAATTCGGTCTTCCAGACTTTTCCTTTCTCAATTACAATAATTTCGTAATACCCGTTTCCACCCCGTGGCGTAACGCGGTACATACTTTTAATTCCTGCAAAGGTATGAAGTTATGAAGCGAGGAGACGACATTTTCCAGACACTGGTATGAGAAGAACCCACCCTCGGTGATAACTTCATTTATTGCAACAACGAATAAGAAGTAATTATACATTTCAAGTACAGGGTTTAAAAATGCCCGAAGCCAAAATCGGCTTCGAAAAATGACTTAAGGTGATGTGAAAGGGGAGGATTCCCTGCCTTTAAAAAGTGCCGTCGATTGACTCGTTCGGAAACATGTTCGCAATGGTTACCTCGAGGCATTGCAAATCCAGGGACGGGTGAGCGCCATTAATTTCAGCTCAGATATTAAATCACGAAGCGGAGAGGTGAAATTTTCCGAACAAACAGCCACGAGAAGAACTCTCTCCCCGTGATAATCTCATTCATCGCGCGACCGTAAATCCGGTATCAGGAACTTGAAATTTCGACCCCCGAACCGCCCTGGAAGGGGCAAGGTGGGC